TTGTCTATGCAAATTGACATATCTGCCTATATAGCGCGGCCTTGTAGGATTGTCAGTTGGCTAGTGGTTATTGGATAGATCAGGCCGACGTGAGCTGCTGATGTACATATAATTTGTCTTTCTTTTATTGTTTTATATCTTTAGGTAATAAAGGATCTTTCTCTTCTTCTAAGAATCTATAAATCTTTCTCAACAATTTTATAAATCGTTCTTATTAAAAAAAAATAGGTTTAAAAATTTAAACTCTCAGCATACAGAATACGGTATGTATAGTGTTATTAAGGAATTTCATATGGATTGTAATATTTAGCTTCAATACAGTTAAACCTGTCTATAGCGCCCCCTCTAAATAGCGCCTCCCTCTCTATAGCGCCCGATTTTAAATACGTAGTACGATACGATTTACATTAAAAGTGACCTTTCTATAGCACCCCCTCTATATAGCACCTCCCTCTCTATAGCGCCCGATTTTAAATACGTAGTGCGATGCAATTTACATTAAAAGTGACCTTTCTATAGCACCCCCTCTATATAGCACCTCCCTCTCTATAGCGCCCGATTTTAAATACGTAGTGCGATGCAATTTACATTAAAAGTGACCTTTCTATAGCACCCCCTCTATATAGCACCTCCCTCTCTATAGCGCCCGATTTTAAATACGTAGTGCGATGCAATTTACATTAAAAGTGACCTTTCTATAGCACCCCCTCTATATAGCACCTCCCTCTCTATAGCGCTCGATTTTAAATACGTAGTTCGATGCGATTTACATTAAAAGTGACCTTTCTATAGCACCCCCCTCTATATAGCACCTCCCTCTCTATAGCGCTCGATTTTAAATACGTAGTGCGATGCAATTTACATTAAAAGTGACCTTTCTATAGCACCCCCTCTATATAGCACCTCCCTCTCTATAGCGCTCGATTTTAAATACGTAGTTCGATGCGATTTACATTAAAAGTGACCTGTCTATAGCACTCTATTTTGGAGAGTTCCAAGAGGGGGCGCTATAGACAGCTTTAACTGTATATATATCTATTCATGATGAAATCATGAAAAATGTTCAAAAATACAAAACTATTGTTCTACAATGAGTTTCTTTTCATTTCAAAATGATATCTTTCACACGATTATTGGGAAATAATTTTTGTATTTATATATATATATATATATATATAAATATATATATATGCAAGTTTAGGATTAAAATATTTTACGCTTATTTCCAATATCATATTTCCTAACATAAGATTCAGTGGTGGATATCTCTCCATGTTTCTGACAGGAGTTTCATTAATTTCCTGAGAGAGTATATGCAAGAGGGGAAATGTCTTCAGAAGAGGCACTTAGAAATCGAATTCAAAACCAGCTTATGCAAATTGGAGAGGGCTCACCTAACAAGATTAAGCTGCGTGGGTGGAGCAGCATGCTAATCTAGTGGCTTTTGTCCCGTCAGTCATGTTCTACATTGTCTGGAGCCGCTGTTGGTAGACCTGTTAGAATGGACACTATTCGGTATTATGTGAACACATTCTGTCCCTGTTTGGTGTAATGCTCTCTCTAATGTTCTATATTATAGTGATACATTTTTACATTGTTTTTTATTTTGGCTAATCCCTAGTATATGTGTTACAGGCCATGATAATCATGGTGGGTAGTTAGCGACTGCTTTGACTGTAAGTGCACCACATGTCTACACATGTTAAAAGCAGTTCGACTTTGCACTTACAAATGTGCCAGAGCCCCGTTTGGTTACTTGCACTCACAGGTGAGATTGGACTTTTTCAAAAATCGGGGGCCATTGGAGCATTTTTTTTATATCAGAAAAAAGTGCACAATGCGGGAATCGAACCCGGGTCGTAGTGGTCGAAAACAAAGGGTTTAGAACATCCTTCCACCGACCTCCAATTCACATTGTGTTGTATTCCTGTTAGATATACGACATGTGATGAACATATAGTTAAAAGCAGTTGCTAACTACCCTCCATGATTATCATGGCCTACACCATGTATACTTGGGTTAGGTAGACAAACAAAAGAAAATATATAACCGGCTGTAATTATGAGCATCACATACACTAATGGATAAAAATTAAGGAAGATGTACATTTTAACATGTATATCGGGATTAAGACAATAACTTTGAAATATACACTCATGGACAAATCTCAAAGAAGTTGTACCTTTTAACATATATATCGGGATTCAGTCAATAACTCTGAAAGATACACTCATGGACAAATCTCAAAGAAGTTGTACCTTTTAACATATATATCGGGATTCAGACAATAATTTGAAAGATACACTCATGGACAAATCTCAAAGAAGTTGTACCTTTTAGCATGTATATCGGGATTCAGACAATAACTTGAAAGATACACTCATGGACAAATCTCAAAGAAGTTGAACCTTTTAGCATGTATATCGGGATTCAGACAATAACTTGAAAGATACACTCATGAACAAATCTCAAAGAAGTTGTACCTTTTAGCATGTATATCGGGATTCAGACAATAACTTTGAAAGATACACTCATGGACAAAACTTAAGGAAGTTGTACCTTTTAACATATATATCGGGATTCAGACAATAACTTGAAAGATACACTCATGGACAAATCTCAAAGAAGTTGTACCTTTTAGCATGTATATCGGGATTCAGACAATAACTTTGAAAGATGCACTCATGGACAAAACATAAGGAAGTTGTACCTTTTAACATGTATATCGGGATTCAGATAATAACTTTGAAAGATAATTGATACACAATGACCTTTATTGAAGACACAAGAGATAACCAAAGTGTAAACAAAATTGCCTCTTTCTTTTTAAAAAATAAAATAAAATAGACGAAACGATATCAAAGACTTTCCGCTTCCTTATGGTTTGTCCATGAGTATTTGTTGCAGAATTAAGATTAAAATATTCAGAAGGGTTTCTTGTGAGAAAGAGGTTTTTTAAAAGAAAAAATAAAGTATTAGTTTGACATTATACCAAGCTATAATAGTATTTGAAGTGTATATTTACTCCCCATCAATAGATAGCACTAAGTGAGTTCAATATTAGCTTGAAGATAAACAGAATCATCTGATAAATAGTTAATAAAACTTTAATAGGTTCTCTCCAATATTTGTTAATGTCTATATTGGCCTTTAGTAGAACTTCATTAACCATTTTCTCCTCTCTTCTTGAACTAATAGTTAAAATCACAAGAAAACAGTTAAGTTAATGTTTAAAGCGTTTGGAAATAGAAACGCTATGTTTTCATTTGGAGGTGAATAGACTGTCTCATCTCGTTTATCGGTAAATAGACCATTGAGAAAAATAAGAGAAATTGGGGATTAGGTTATCGCTTTTCTTAGGCCACTCTCTCCCAGATGCTGGGCTTACTAAATTATTTATTGATTTTGTTATTATCTGGAGCTATATCAATTCTTGGGAAAAGGGTCAGTTCCCTCTTTGTTTATCTTTTAGATTATTTTGGTGTCTTATTATTGGTTGGGATAACTGAGTCAATGGCATTTCTTTGTTTCATTTTCTTTTTTTTTTCGTTTTGAAGCTTTTGATTGGGAAGTTGTTTACCGATTTCTTTTTGTGTTTTGAAATTGTAAATGTTACAGTGTGGATTTATGTTTTCATATTGAGGATTATTAAGAAAAGTATTATATTTTGAATTATTTTTATGAGAAATTATTTTTATCTCTAGTATTCGTGGTATTCATTGTACAAAGTGTATATAATGCATATTATATATTTTTGAACAGTGCAGACTGTGCACTTTGCATGTATTGACAAGATGTCAATAAAATTATTCTAATTGTCAAAAAAGAATTGTCTAGTATTAGTGGTACAGGTTATGATAATCATGGTAAATAGAATTTGACAACTTCTTTTACTGTAAGTGCATCACATGTCTACACATGTGAGAAGCAGTTCGACTTTTGCATTTACAAGTGTGCCAAATTTACGTTTGGTTACTTGCACTCGCTGTTAGGGGTAGGACTTTTGCCAGAATCGAGAACACAATTGGAGCATTTTTTTAAATTATGAAAAGTTTTTAATGCGGGATTCAATCCCGGGTCGTTGCGGTCGAAAACCAACGGTTTAGGTCTACACATGTCTACACACATGTGAAAAACGCTTCGATTTTTCACTTACAAATATACCAGAGCCCCGTATGGTTACTTTCACTCGCTGGTGAGATTGAACTTTTGCAAGATTCGGTAGCCATCGGAGCATTTTTTAATTATAAAAAAAGTTCCCAGTGCGGGATTCGATCCCGGTTCGTAGCGGTCTAAAACCAATGGTTTAGACCAAGGGTCGGCAAACTGCGGCTAGCGAGTCACATGCGGCTCTTTGGATGTGAAGCTGTTTATATAGTTCTATACGTAAATATTATTTATGTGAGTACTATTTATTGTTGGCAGGAAAAATTGTTGTGGCATTTAAAAACTTTTACATTTTGTAAATTGTATTTATGTAGCATACATGCAGGAAAAACAGTAATAGTACCTTAATGGTAATATGATATTTATATACAGGAAAAATTATATAAAGACAATTAAGCTAATAAAAAGATTAGTCTGGGTAAATTGGAGGAAAATAAATTTATTATACATGGATTTTCCACGGATTCTCGGCAAATGAAGATAAAGAAGTAAAAGCTGATCACAATCAATATTAATTATGGAGTTTATACACAAGAAAATCTAAATTTATAATACAAAATAATGCGGCTTATGATTGTAGAACGACATTTGAAAATTATCCCGCATGTGTTTCTTTTGAACGAAAAATCGAAATTTATTTTAAGGAGAAATAACGATTATTTCTAACCTTAGGGATGAAGTATGAAAGGATGAATTGTGAAGAGTAATCATAAACGGAAAAATAAAATTGTCCAGGGATGGGAATCAAACCCACAGTGTTCCGCTTACCGGGCAGATGCCATGTCCACTAGGCTACCCTGGACACATTTCCCCGTTCTTAAATAATATATATGTCCAGGGTAGAGAGCCTAGTAGACATGGCATCTGCCCGGTAAGCGGAACACTGTGGGTTCGATTCCCACCCTGGACACTTTTATGTTTACGTTTATCATTACTCTTCACAATTCAACCTATCATACTTCATCCCTAAGATTAGAAATAATCGTTATTTCTCCTTAAAATAAATTTGGATTTTTCGTTCAAAAGAAACAATTGCGGTATAATTTTTAAATGTCGTTCTAAAACCTAAATTGTTCGTATTAAAACGATCGTATATCATATATAAATTACAAGGTAATGAATCCGTTTAAAACGGCGTTAGAATATATGTGTACCGTGTCAGTGAAGGAAATATTCCTGAAGGGATAATTGGATCTGGCTACCCTGCTGACAGCACAGAAATTGGATCAACTCCCACAATAAGTATATAATCCTTTCTCTATGAGTCAGGGTTGCCGGGTGAAATGGAGAAATCCTAATTAAAATATCATAGATAAATACATATTACAGTTAGCATTTATAAGAAAGAGAAAAACCTATATTCACTATAAATAAGATATTTATAAAATTTCAATATATAAATTTATATAAAATAAAAGGATTTAAAAGCGCGAATGTTTCTTTTATACATAAAACGAACTTCTACTGTCCTTACTGCGATGAAAAAATATATTGGGAGGGCTTGGCTCGCAGTAAGGACAGTAGAAGTTCGTTTTATGTATAAAAGAAACATTCGCGCTTTTAAATCCTTTTATTTTATATGTATAGATGGCGCGTTATTGCTTTATATAAATTTATATTTTTAATTAAAAAGGCATATATTGTATCAAAATATAATTTATTTTACCAATATTTCAGTTGGCTGAACGCCAACCTTTATCAAGTTATTATAACTAATTAATGTGTGTCAACACACGTTTATTCAACTTGTTCCGTGATATTTGACCAACCCAATTTCTTGATAAATAAAGAAAAGTCAACTACGAACGCGTTTCGGGCTATTGGCCCTCGTTAGTGTAGTGCAAACTGTACCTATACTATATATGTCTTATTATATCTTTCGTATGCAAATCTGCAACCTAATTATGCGGGAGATTAATGTCGAATAAAGTTTCAAGCAATCGAGGAGACGGCAGTAAGGAAGACATCTAATTACTTTATATGCTTTCTGTTTTCTATAAACATGGAAAGTTCAGATTAGGTGTGACAGAAAAGTGATGGGACAGTTGGTGACAGTAGGACACATATCACTCAGACTGTCCTCTATCGTTGACAATAACGATGGACTAAGTTGGACCCTGTCTATCTTCCCTGGCTCCACTTAACAACGATATTCCTTTGAAGATCCTGTTGTTCTTGGTATATCATTAATATGCTTCATGACTGCTTAAATAAACATATCAACGCATGCCATCAACAATTCAACATCTATCAAGTAGAACCTTCCAGATTATCGACTTCAAAGAAACATTACAAATCATGCCTACATGAAAATGATGTATGGCGAGTCCTTAAAGGACAGATATGTCCAAATAAAGCTGTTGTTGTTGTACAAATCATGTCAATTACACAAATTTTCAATTATTTTGTATAAAGATCATTTTGATATTGTACATAGAAGTATTTGCTTGTTGAAGAACATAAATTTTGATCGAAAGTTTGCAAAATCAAAAAATAAAAAGAAACTATTTACTTTTATTTATTCTTTCTTTTTCAAATAATTTATAGGTAACTATTTCTCATATTAAAAATCTAATTCATGAAACTGAATTGTAAATCCATGATGAAACATACGAAGCGATATTTTTGATAACTGTTAATGTTGTTTCTTCAAAATTGCTACTCGTTTAGTTTTTAATTTTATAAATCTACTAGCGGACGTACCCGGCTTCGCCCGAGGTTTTACACGAGTAAAGGTTTGTCTAACGAACATTTGGTAAAACAATTCTCTATAAACTTATAAAAAAAAGAGATATATTTTGATAATTTGAAACTCGTAAATTTGAATCTCTCGATAAAGTGAACATTTTTTCCCGGTCCCTGTGTGCCGTGTCATCCTGAATTTTGTCTTTCATAATTTTCTACATTACAAAATCATCGTTTTATCTAGTGAACATATTTTCCCGGTCCCTTAAAATTACTCGATAAGTTGAATAAAGTCATGGTCGTGAATCTCTCGATAAAGTGATTATTTTTTCCCGGTCCCTGTGTGCCGTGTCATCCTGAATTTTGTCTTTCCTAATTTTCTACATTACAAAATCATCGTTTTATCTAGTGAACATATTTTCCCGGTCCCTTGAAAAATACTCGATAAGTTGAATAAAATCATGGTCGTTTATGGAAGATGGACGTAGTTCCCGGAGGTCACCCGCCCCCCGCGCGCCAGGACCTCTTGATCACTCTGATTGGCCGGCGGCCGGACGGGGGGGGGGGGGGGGGAGGGGGCTCTTGATCCCTCTGATTGGTCGGTGGGAACTTGGACTGTCCAACCAACTGGCCGGCGGCCGGACGGGGGGGAGAGGGGCAGATCTCCGTTGCAAGATGGCGCTGCTTGCGAGTTAAAGCTACAAATCTGCAAATAACTCTAAGGATATTAAAGATATTCAAGAAATTATTTTTCGTAAACCTTTCCGGAGATACACCTAATAATATCCCAAAATTTCACGGCGATTGGATGTATGGTTTTTGAATCCATAGAGGACACACAGACACACACACAGACATTCAATTTTATATATATAGATAATGCACCATCCGTTTTCGACTGCACATTTGGATAATTTAGAATATCTAAATTCCCTATGCGTTTACGCAATTTACAAATTGAATAATCATATGAATAAATACAAATAATCCTTTACCATGATTTTACTGTAGAATTCGATGTTACAAGTAGGTTGCTTGTATGAGAATGGATTTCATAAAACCTGGTTTTTAACGCTCTATATTCAAAATTCTCGATATTTTTTATTGTGTTTACAGCAAATATAAAAACTACGAAAATCTGTCAAACTTTATATTTTAATCTTTACAACACACACAAAAGCACCAATCTACTTGAATAGGGTGTTGAAAGTCTAAAGCATAGGTAATTTCTTTCTTTAAAACTTAAAAACCTTTCATAAACTGTATCCTATTAATTATGCAACTTCTTTCATATTTTCTTTTCATTCTTTTACTTATTTTTGTGCTTTTTAATAGTGGCTTGGGGTAATTAACAGCAATTATAATTAATTTTCCATGTCATTAATAATCTTTCTGACTTAATTCTTGTTACCAGGCTTGAGTGCTTGCTTCACTTGACCATGTATCTCCTTGTCTTCTCCATCCATCTCTTTCAGAAAAAAAAGATTCTTTCGAACTTTTGAAAGAGAGAAAATGATTTAATTAAAAATTTATATCGAGAAAAAAAAATCTTGTTGTTTATTATTCTTATAGATCATTTTGTTGCAATACCAGGGCAACCCATAACAAAGGTGGCGCTAGTTACATACCATGTTATGGCAAAGTTTCAAAAATCAGGTTTTTTTTTTTTTTACATTTGAGTCATCAATAGTTTACATTTTGTTGCCATTACCAGGCCAATCCGTAACAAAGGTAGCTCTAGTTACATACATTGTTATGACAAAGTTTCAAAAATCAGTTTTTTTTTAACATTTGAATCATCAATAATTTATATTTTGTTACCATACCAGGCCAACCCGTAACAAAGATGGCGCTAGTTACATACATCTGTGGAATGTTTGCGTGCGTGTTGGTGTGGTTTGTGGAAAGGTCGCTGATAAAAGTATAATTATATTTTTATAAAATATAATTATAAAATAAATAAATTTATTTAAAGCCAGAAATATATAAAGAGAAAAGAAGTAACGACCGTTGGAAACAAGCCTTGTTGTTGAACGACGCGCGTGGCCAGAGTCCCGGATACCGCCTGCGCATGCGTAGTGAGATGTTCTCTTAGCTCGCGGTTGCCGAGGCCCTCACACTACTGCCCGTATGTTTAGTGAAGCTTTGTCCCAGTTCGCTCTAGCTGAAGCAAAGTGTGGTCGCCACACATTGTTATGGCAAAGTTTCAAAAAGCAGTTTTGTTTTAGCTGTTTTTTCAATAATTCAGTCATCAAAATTTTCTCCTTTTATAAAATTCATTTTTTAATTTCTTACTCTGACATAGTTCTTATAGCGAATTTCCAGATTTTGATTTATATTCTCTTGTTAATTGATTTTTCCTTAATTGTTCTATGATGTTTATAAAATTTGAGATTTTACTGACTTTCGAAAGAGAGAGAATTCTAATATATATCTATAAATACATAGATCTGTGGGGTGTATGTATGTGTGAAATTGAATGTAATCCTTTCAAATTGCTCTTTTTTACCCATTTTTATTACAACTAAGAAAATCTAAACAAACATAAACGGAAACCTTTAAAATTAGACACTAAAAGATAAATTTGAGTAACTTCCAGGTGTGTTGCTGTAAGAAACTCAATAATGTGAAAAAATAATAGGAAAAAAGAAGAAAGGTCAGGTGTTGATATTAAAAACAAAGAAGGCATATCCTGACCATAAGCACATATGCTTTTTAGATGGCAGAGCGATATCTTTTTTATATTAATATTTCTCATACATCACTCAGATGATAAGCTTACAAGAAAATTTAATCCTAGAAGAAGATAGGCAAAAGAGCGCTTCGTCGAAATATCGAAATTTTAAAAATAAATACAATATTTATATAGGATAGGCGTTTGTTCTAATATATTTGAAATGGAATGCACAAATATTCCAACAAATGAATATATATATAAACGATGAAATTCTAAGAATGTATATCCCCAAAATGAAACATTCCAAAGGGACTGAATGTCTATAAGGAAAAATAAAAAAGAAATCTCACAGACAGAGAAATAAAATCCAATTTTAGTTGAAACTGTGAAAGACGGAAGACGTAACAATATCTCCTGATATCTTCACATAGTCAAGCAATTCTTTCAAAGAATGAAAAAAAACTTGAGATCTAGGATTTGAGGGAGAATTTCACCTAATAAATTATATTTGGGGAAATATCTGACATCTATATTTGAGGGCTATTGAA